AAAAAAAAAGAAATAAATTTACGTTTCATTATCCTTAGGTAACTTAAAAAAAGATATAGGTATGTGAATCCTTTTTTTGCTCATTATGCATCCATCCACGCAATAATTATAGTAGGTTCACCGTTTTGCCATTATAATTTATCAAATAGATAGGTTATATACAACGTTATTAACACACACCCTCAGACACCCCAATTAGTATATTATGTTATAATTATAAAACATACACTGCATTTTTAGTGAAATATTTTTATTCACTGATTATTTATCAAATTAGTTATACTAATTCCGGAAGAATGTTGTGGTCACAGTACAAATCCACGAATGTAAAGAATTTAACAAGCTTGAAATAAAGTTCATTTTTCTTTATTTTTATTGAATGACAGAATTAGTAATAATACAAATAATACTGCACTCTTAAAAGTTTTATTGCGTTAAGTTACGTTCCATTAAAGTTTGTTTTGACTGTACAGATTTAGTGTGACTGCAATTTACGTAGTTTTAATTATTTTTGGGATAAAAAATTACCTATATAAAAAATCGATTCCTATCGATTCAGTAAACGATTCTGAACGAACTACTTTCTCAAAGTGCGTTAATTATGTTACGTGTTGTATATACACATATATTATTTTTAAATCACATTAAAAAAATTTGAACTACTTTATCCTACAATTAAATACTAAACAAAAATTACAACAAGTGTTTACAAAAAACTATTTACGTAAACAGCGTTAAAATACATCAATCGCCTACAACGCGCTAGCCCCGATTGCGTATTACACCCTGGATGAATCGCGATTTTAGGTAATTATTTCACGCAGGTAGCAAGTGTGACAAAGGCCTGGCCGTGCCGGTGCCGGCAACGGTAAGTGGAAGCACATGGCATGTTATACGTTTAATACCTACATATTTGCTTCCCCGGCAGCCGGGCCGGTGCCGTGCCGGTGAATGAAAAAGCGCCTAATGCCTGAACCAATTTTGTGCAACTTTATCAACAGAGAGTAATGCCCGGATGGGTCTAGATTATGTTTAACCCGAAAAAATTTTTTTGGCAATTCTAAAAATTTTAAAATAAATAATCTTCGATTACCTTAAATCTAAATAAAACTACATTATAGAGGTTACGTCTAGGCTTCAGGGACGTTTCGCTAGTTTATAATATTACACCCGTGTATTAGTTGAGTACCGTAAAACATGCCAACTTTGCCCTAAAAATGAGAATATTCTTGCATTTTTTGAGTTATTTTGAAACCCGTTATATGTTTCATACCATATTTGTATCACACAGTACTTTAAGTTCATGTCTCGATATTTATTTCTTAAAATATCCAGAAAGTTGTATGTATATTTGTAAAAAACACATTCATATGTGGTGGGCAAAAATTCATAGATTTTTGGCAACTTTGCCAACTTTAAATATTTCCGATATTATAAACCGTATCAAAAATCTTAAAATAGCTAAACATAAATGTAGAGCAATGCAGTATTATATTAAAATATCAGTTTAATAGTCATATTCATTGTCCTTTAAAATTGAGTGGGCAAAATCAAAAACCCACCTAGAACATTTTTCTTACAATAACGATCAACGTCTAAGGGCTGACACCATTAAAAAAATGCTTTATTCCAATAATAAATGAAAACTTTTTATAGATAAAATATTTATTGACGTAATAAATTCAAAAAGTGCAATCATAATGGATACAAAATAAAGAACAACGGTGTACCTACATATACTGTTTGTTTGAGTTACGTAGCGATTAACAATAAAGAATAAAAGGAATAAAAGTACAACATGTAATAGAATAAACTAAAAATACCTAAACTTATATTATTGAGCACAGGTTCTTTGGGTATTTTTAGATTTCGATTTAAAATCGAAATCAAGGAACACTCAAACATAGGTGTAGTGTGTACCCAATAATTTTACTTGCGACTATAATCAAACTAGCTTACGAGGGTAGATTGAAAAGTACTCGGCCTAACACAGATCCATTCAATTCTAAAAATCAAATCTACCCACATTATTTAGTTCAGTTCAGACTAGTTCATTGTGTGAAGTTCGAAACGTGTGCGATAATTAGTTGTGATTTTATAAATTTATTAACAAAGTAATCGGACATAATTTCCGCGAATGGAGCAAATCGAGCAGCGTGCCGTCATTAAGTACCTCCATAAGAAGGGGCTATCATCAAAAGCCATCCATGATGACATGGTCAGTACATTAGGCGATTGTGCTCTGTCATATTCATCCGTCAAAAAATGGATAGCAGAATTTAAGCGTGGTAGAGAGAGTGTGAAAGATGAACCCCGCTCTGGAAGGCCTTCGACGTCAACTACTGACGAAAATATTAAAAAAAGTACTTGATTTAATAATGGGAGACCGCAGATTAAAAATTAGAGAGATAGCCGAGATTATAGGCATCTCTTATGAACGAACTCAAAACATCATTGTCAACGAGTTGGGTTTCCACAAGGTGTCTGCGAGGTGGATTCCGCGACTGCTTTCAGTTGAAGAAAAAAGGACGCGATTGACTATTTCACGCGACTGTTTGGAGTTATTTGAAGCCGATGCAGATAATTTTTGAATCGTTTTGTTACTATGGACGAAACATGGGTTCATTACTGTACACCGGAAACAAAACAACAATCAAAACAGTGGAGAAGACCTGGTTCACCACCCCCTAAAAAGGCTAAGTCGATTTTGTCGGCAAATAAGGTGATGGCTTCAGTATTCTGGGACTCGAAAGGTGTGATTATGATTGATTATCTTGAAAGGGGTCAGACTATAAACTCTGATTACTACTGCACCTTACTACGTCGTTTACGAAAGGAAATAAAAGAAAAACGTCGAGGAATGCTCAGAAGAAAAGTCCTGTTTCATCAAGATAACGCCCGTGTTCACACGTCAGTACAGTCAATGGCTGAAATTCACAACTGTGGCTTTGAACTGTTACCGCATCCGCCGTATTCACCTGATCTGGCACCATCAGACTTCTTTTTGTTCCCTAACCTAAAAAAGCACTTGGGAGGTCAAAGATTTTCGACAAACGACGAGGTCAAAGCAGCTGTAGACGCATATTTTGACTCTAAGGAAGAATCATTTTTTTTCAACGGTCTAAATGCTTGGAAGGGGAGGTGGCAAAAGTGTATTGAACTTGATGGTGATTATGTAGAAAAATAAAAATATAACTGATTTAGTATGTGTTTATTTTCTTGGTTAGGCCGAGTACTTTTCAATCGACCCTCGTATATTATAGGTCCAGCTTAAATATCAAAAACACCTAAGGGATTTTTAAAGGATGTAATCATCTTCTTAACTGTCTTCTTCTATCTTTCATAAACAAATCAAATATGTCATCTATAATTAGTATTTTAATTACGTAAATATAATAGCAGCTATTCTTAATGTTTTAATTATTATACAAAATATTCTCAGTCTTATAGGAACAATTGTTACAATTGAGATCAAGTAAAACTTAAGCATAGATAAACAAAGAGTTTCTTATTTTACTTCAGACTGAATTTGCATTATATTATAATAATAACATAACAATTTAACAGTAAAGTTTTGTACTTAACAAAATAACTTTAGTTTACAACATATATTTATCTTTTCTTCTATACTATACTAAAACTCTAACACAACATCTGTTTGGACACACATCACGCAAAAATCAGTGATCCGATTTAGATAAGACTTTCACTGGCGGATAACTGATTTTATAAGGAGCAACTTAGGCTACTTTTATTTTAGGGTTTCGCGGAAAATAATCCACGCAGGTGAAGTTGCGGGGAACAGCTAGTAACTTAATATTTTATAATAAGTTTATTGTATATTATAAGTAGAAAAATCAACTTCGAACATAACTTGGCCCCTTCTAGTAATTATTGGTTGCGGTAAGACGAGAACAACGTCATCTACGTGAAGCATTTCATAAATATCTTTGACAGGTGGATACGTAAAGGTTAATCTTTTGCTATTTGCAGTATTTTTAACTTTCCTTAGAAATTCTATTGTAGGGATATTATTTTTAATAAATAAAATCCGTCCAACAAAGTGCTTGACGCTTTTTTTTGTAGCAAATTTTGCTATGAGCCAGTCACCTTCGTTTAAATTATCAACATTGCCTGTGAAATACTCAATATCACTGATCCCAAACGGGATCGGGTCCGGCTCCAAGTTTTCTTTTTCCGACTGATCTTGTAAACAGATTTTTATGTAGTCATTTAATGTTTCATATTCCGAATCATCTGATTCTGCTATACTCAATTGAAAGTCGGAAATTTCAGAGCTTGATTCACTAATATTTTTTTTAAATTTCTTCTTATTCACAGATGTTGTTTTCCTTGATTTTGTTTTGATTTTATTAATTTTACTCCTTTTTTCACGCTTTACGCATGTGGTTCTAGTCATACTTTTTCGTTTTCGTGTTGTATTTTCTTCTTTTTGCATATTTATGTATTCATTATTTTTGTCCGTTACGCTTGAATCATTGTTTATTTTATTTATTTTATCCCTTGTAAATAATTTCATTTTCAGTGCTGATTGCGTAATAACTTTAGCACCAGCATCTATTTGGATCCTTAAGTTTTTCTGTGTTTTTCTTTCCTTACAGTCTAATTTTACATTGGAAGTTATTGTAACATTTGTTTGATTTGTTGATTGCAAACATGGTGGCAAATCATTATCATTTATCACTATAAATGGCAAGTTCTCTTTGTCACCTTTTCGATTTTTGCTTAATAAATGTACATCATTTGGTGATAGAGGAGTAGTGTAATTTATTAAGGAAATCATATTATTATTTATAACTGTTATACAGATTTTACTGAGACTATCTGGATTATAAAGCACATGGGATATATTTGACCATAGGAACATTTGTAAATTATTTCTATAAACATTTTCATTTGACGTCGAAGGCATTTTGTTAGATTTATTGGACGGAAAAACTATACCTTCATGTTCTATCTTCTGGGTAGTTTCAATATGTTCAGGTGTGTTTTTTAAAAAAAAATCCTATTTTATCATCCAATACGAGCTCATTTTCTTCTATGTCTCTTACAGTAGTCACTTCTTCTAATATATTTATCTCACAATCTTGCCTGCTGCTTTCTATATCATTAAAATTATCCTGATAGTTTTCAAATCTTTTGGATTTCTTATTTTGAACACTTTTGTTACTAGTTGTTTTTATTAAAATATCGGCGGCACAAACTGACTTGCCTGGTTCTGTACGTAATTTCTTACTCCTTTTCACTGCCATTGGTTTAGAACACCTTGTTTTTTGTAGGTAATCTAATAAAGCTGAATCTATTCTGTACACTTCTTCGTCAAAATACTCAGGTATTCGTTTCAAAACATTTCGGGCATTAACTGGCCATATTCCCGCGGCTCTAAATCCACTTTTAATATTATTACTTTCTCTGAGATTAATATTTTTTAATAATTCGTTCAAGAGTTTAGGAAAGTGCTTTTTATTAATAGTTGACTGTTCCGGATTTTGAATTTTGTAATTTGTGAGTACCTTCCTCCATTCTCTTTTTAAAGGGGCAAAAAACGCTACATCTAGAGGTTGGGTCAGATGTGTGGAGTTAGGTGGAAGAAACACAAACCTAATATCATATTTTTGGCATAGCTCCACAACTTCGATATTTAGGTGACTAGACAAATTGTCACCTATTATGACTTTTGGCCCTGAAAGATTCTTTGCCCACTTTAGTATAATTGTTCTAAAATAATCCTCAAAACAGGCAGAGTCAAACCAACCCGATTTCGTGCAATTGTAACGAGTTCCATCAGGACCTCCGTCAACCCATTCGGAATATAGATTTGTAGCTTTATATACTACATATGTTGGAAGACAGTCACCAGCTGCAGACACCGTAAATATAATCGAAACACAACTCTTAGAACTGTTTAAAATTCTTTCGGGATATTTTATGCCCCTTCTAAAAATGCATTTTAAATTACTCGGGTTATCAGACAAATTAGTCTCATCGTAGTTAAGGATGTTACTAGGTGGAATATCCTTCAGCGTCGCTTGTAAATTATCGAAGAAATTTTGCATTTCTAGCAGACCTTTCTCGGCCCGGACCTTTTTTATATTTTGTGTAGTTCGAACTGATAATTTTGATGAATGTCTATTTAAAAAATTTTCTACCCAAGTGTTTCCGGGCATTTTTCCATTAAAAATATGACTGCGTGAATTTTTTTCTAAATAATTAAAAACAAGCATTTTCAGGTCTAACTTGGTCATTGGAGAACCATAGTCACTTACAGCTACCAGAACATTTACAAGATTTTCTTCCTCGATTTCTGTTAGTAGTTTTTGTCCCCCAACCGTTTTCATGTGCACTTCTTTTGCCTTATTTATTATGATCCTCCGTGGTATCCCGAATTGTTTTTCGGCTTGTCTACTAGAAATAACATTTTTTTTTTACTAGGTCTACTGCTATATCCAACATTTCCTTAGAGTAGTTTTTGTAATTTCTGGATCCTAGTTTCCTTCTATTTCTTTTTCTTTTTGTACATGTATTTGAATTATTATTACTGTTCATCCTATAAAAACAAAAACAATATATCTGAGAAACTATAAAACCAAATAATAAAAAGGTTACAAAATACGGAATTACGCAGAAGCGTAGAATACTATATGTAGAAAATACGATCGACGAGATCTTCCATTTGTGCTACTAACAAAAATTACAGCAAATGAAAAAGTTACAGATGACAACCCTACGGGTAATAAATTGGTGGGCAATGTTGTCAACAATGCTCAAAAAAAGAAGTGTGTGACTTTGCCCACCAACATATTAGGTGAATTTATGAAATTTTTTGCGTAAATAGTAGTCTATATTATCCATTTTAAATATATTTACGGTTGTAAAAAAATTACTTACCTGCTGTTACTGCAACTATCACTTTTCGGTAAAGTTTTTGTGCTGGTTTTTGCCCACCAAAAAACACTACCAACTTATACAAGTTCTGACAGGCAACTGAAGTTACATAGATGACATAACATCACTTAGTGTTGCTAGAAAAATAATGAATTTTATACTACAGACAAAAAAATACTCCTAAGTTATGTCAAATTCGCTGTGTATCAAGTTTACCAAAAAATACCCAACTGGGCAAAGTCAAATCCCAAGGGCAAAGTTGCCAGGTTTTACGGTATCCGTTACACTAATCCGCTGATTTTATTTTATTGCGTATAAAACCGAATTACAAGGGTTTACACAGGGAAAAAATAATACCTTTTATCATTCGTACTCCTTCATACCGAGGCATGGTAAAATATTATGATAGATACCAAAACAAAAGAACATTTATGTAAAATATATAGCAACACAGCGATAGATTTTTGTATAAAACATTTAAAATTATAAGATAAAGAAAGAAATATACTGTTTCAAATACTACAAAGTGTGAAAGCAAATAGGTAAGAGGACGTTACCTACCTAGACAGAATTCTAGGTGAAAAAAGAGCATTTCCACCTAGAGCTTTGTAATCTACTATCGCCAGCGTTATTCGAGGATCAATACGACTTACAGACCTTCAAGAAACAACTACTATTCTTCTGGTGTGGCAGATCACTTATCGGTGTTTGTATTCTCTTCTTTAAGCACAACATTACATTTACACAAAATAATAATAAATTGTAATGAAAATTATAATCTAATCATGCATAACCTATAAATCTAATTATATAGAATTTACAAAGAACAATGTTCTGAGCAACTAAATTTATAGTTAGATGAGAAACGAAAATTTTTGTCATGCGTAGGTATAAGAAGAAGTTTAATTATAAATTTTATTTTTAGTGTTCTAATTTCTAACTTGGGCATTGCTTTGTAGCATTTCTAGGTGGAGGCCTATATACTTTTGAAGGGCTGTAATGAATAAAAAAATCTAACATCTTCCGCGTATTAGGCACTACATTATTGAATTAGAACAATACGAGTATTTAACTTGTCCTTCGAGTTAGTATTTTTTTTTCTATGTACATTACTACTTATTATGTTTTATAGTTGTGTATTTCATAACATTATTAAATTTATATAAGCTAGCTTAATCCAAATTCCCAAGACACATCACTAAGTATAACCATAAATGGATTACACCAAAGTTTAAGACGGGTTAAACTCTTATTTATTACGTACGCTCTGTTTGCTTAATCTAATGTTGGACCTGACGTCTATTCCTAACGTTGGAAATATGATATTATGAAATGGGGATTATTAAAAGGTGATTTAATAATAAGTTGTTTAAATAGTAATAGGGTGGTTAAAATGTTGCTCACCAATCTTTAAATCGGAAGTATGTACTCGGACAATTCCGAGACGCGCACGAGTCCCCGTTCGGGCTATTCTTCGTTCATTTCTACCTGATAGTAAGATGATTAAATGTTTTACTATAAATATTGACTATTCTAAAGAACCCACCTATCTTCTGAAGCAACTTAACGGTACTCAGATTTTATCGCGTTTAATTAATTCATTTTTAATTCCCGACGTTTCGGGTGCTTTATATCACCCATCGTCACGGGTGTACTGAGATACTTGAAGACTGCAGTCTGTGAACATTTTCAAGATCGTCCCCAACATTACATCAGATTTCACAAACCACAAATCCTCGCAAAAGGACACTGATTTCTACCATGTATGATACGCGAAGCTATTGAAATTAAAAACATCCTAATTTCAATAGAGAAGATGGATAGGTGTTGCCATATGCTTGGGATCCTACAATTAACAAAATTAAATCCAAACCCAAGCATACCACTGCAAGACTTCAAGATACTGTAATCTCGTTCTGTGCGAAACCGGGCAAAAAATTAATATTAAAAAACTGAATGTAGCCGGGCTAACTATGACCTTGGGACGTCAAACACCTCAGTGCCTCTGTGGCCGTGTGTACTGTAAAGTACCCGAAATGTCGAGAATTAAAAATAGTTTAATTAAACACGATAAAATCTGTATAAATAGTTTTATCCAATCTAGGGGGGTTCGTCATGCGTACAGCAAAGGAGTGGAATAAGTTGCCAGCATCTGTCTTTCTATCCGATTACTGTGTGGATGTCTTCAAGGCAAGAGTAAATAGGTTTTTGTTAAGTCAATGCGCTTCAACATCTTAAGCTACATCAGCACTTACGATCAAGAGGAATTGTAGCTAAGTACTGGCTTAGAATAATTAAAAAAAAGTTGTTATCAGGAAGATTCTGGTGGCCAATTTCTGTTTCTTTTCCCTTTGTCGCCTCTTGCGACCCCACGGGATGATATGATGATGATAACGGAAATAATAAATAATAACGGGATGTTAGCATCTTGCTATGTGGTATCTCTTGGTGGGTAGATTCTTTAAGGCCGCCACTGCACGGTGTTAATAAATCGTGAATATTTTTATTAATCTAACATCGCGTTAGTTTAATTTCCTCTAATTGAAGATGAAATAACAAAAGAATTTTAAAAGGGTAAAGGTGTATATTTTAATCGAAACTACACTCTAAAAAGTAAAGTAAAATTACAGCCTACATACGCCCCACTGCTGGGCACAGGCCTCCCCTCATTTCTGAGAGGGTTTTAGGGCAAGAAAGTGTCCGCCGCGCTGCCACAATGCGTGTTCGCAAACTTCACATGTCTTCAAAAATTTTTTTTCTTATTCCTCAGACATGCAGATTTCCTCACGATGTTTTCCTTCACCGCCGAGCACGTGGTAAATCAGCACTTAAAATTGCAATTAACAATTTCATTGCGCCGGCGGAGATCAAACCCGGGTTACTCGCATTCTGTTATATTTACAGCGAGCGTTAACCATCTGAGCTACCACGGCTCATCAAGCTAAACTCTATTAACCATATTTAGTATTTAAGTAGCTTACAATATTTTAGTACTAAGTACTTAGGTACAAAAATACAATATAATAAACATCGTTAAGTTGAATACGAATACCGAATATATCGAATACTCGAAACAAAAATGACAAACGATTCTTTTTCATTTTACGAGAAAGGCGAGAACCGTACTTAAGCGAGTAATACCAGTGACTAAAAGCTAGTTGCATTAGTAGAAACGTGTAAAATGTAGCTTGTTGTATGTAGTACTCATCTAAATCGCATGATAATGCAATCAGCTATTCCGCCATCAAGTCACGCATGTACATATTTACTATTTATGCGCTTGCATAATATTTTCATGACCCAAATAAGAGTTCTGTGAAACAAGCGCTGTCTTTATGAATGTTAACGGACTGGAAAATAAAGAGATGAAAATGACCGTGAAATAAATTAGAACTCAAAAGAGTAACAAAAGAGTATCTACATAATTTATACATGAATAAGGAACAATAAGAGGCAAATTTGGTACAAATATCATACAGAAATATCAAAATCATCTCGTTGGAGTTACTTCAAGGTGTGGGTCGGACTTTTAATATAATTTTACAAAAAAATTTAACTTTCGGCTTAAAATATTTCACTTTAAACTTGTACTCTATACTTTAATGGTAAGTCAATGTCGTAAATAGGACAATAAACTTCACCACGACATTTAACATAAAACAAAGTCTTTCACCAACCCTGACTATAGACTTTATCCCACTTCTGATGTTAGAAAATATCCCACTTCTGATGTTAGAAATTAATCTCAAAATTATTTAAAATAGGAGAATACTCCTAGTTAATCAGCTTTACTGTTTTATGGAAGTTAATTGTTAAATATCATAAAAATGTGAGAGCGGATTGTTTAATTTGCTCTCTTGCTTGCGCAATTAATTATTATCACGAACAAAACCTTCAAATAATACATTTAGTTTAGAGCAAATACAGTTCGACCAACCGTAATATGTCCCTGTCACAATTAAACACTGGTGTAAGGTGAAGGACGTAATTTACATGATAACACCAAAGTATGCAAAACCAACAGCATCACTACTCATCTCAATGTAATGCAGGTCAGCCTCTTAGCAACACAATCTTCCTTATGTAACACTCCCCCTCTCCCTCTCATATACATCTTTTATTAAATTTTTTATTTATTTTTTATAGAAGAGGGAGCAAACGAGCATGCGGTTCACCTGATGCTAAGTGACTACCGCCGCCCATGATGCGTTGCCGGCCCTTTAGAAAGGAGTAAGCTCTTTTCTTGAAGGTCCCCAGGTCGTATCGGTCCGGAAAAATCGCCGGTGGTAAACTATTCCACAGAAAGGTTGTACGCGGAAGAAAACTCCTTTTGAAACGTACAGTGGTGGACCGCCAAGCATCCACATGGTGTGGATGGTATCGGGACGTTTGCCGCGTAGTGCGTTCACGAAATTTGGCGACTGGGATTAATCCGAACAATTCCTCAGAGCAC